ATATATCTCTTTTTTTTTTTATATAAAAAAAAGAAAACACAAAAAAAACAATGTTTCATTTCCCTTTTTTTTAGAGCTTTACGGAGACATTCTAACGTTCATTATCCCGTTTTTTACAGCTCGTCTCCATTAACGTTGTATGATTCTAGTCGAGCGTTGCCACCACCAGCTCATCACAGCTCGGCCAGACCGTTGCTGGCAAGTCATGCAGCGCATCCACTGCCTGCACATATGCAGCCGACAGCCGTTTACGGATTGGCCCCGCTTTCACCGGCCAAACATCAATATCAACCTTCTGGTTTGTGGTTCACCGAGTAAATCTTCACCTTCTTTTTTTTTCTATTTTTTCTTTGTTTTCGTTCGTTCCCTCTGTGTCTCTGAGTTTCAGAAGAAAAATGAAAAACGGCGTTGAACCGAGCACCGAGCAGCATCGCCGCTTCGCTTTTTCTTCCTGAAATTTTACTCCGAGATCCAGGCACAGGCGAGATCTCTCTCTCTCGCTGCACATCCGAACACACAAACACACACACGCGCAAGACCGTCGCCGAACGAAAGGAAAAAGAGAATACAATTCGTTCGTCCATCCGTCGCCATTTTCTCTCACCTTCGAGACATTCTCTCATTCTCTCGTGAACGTGCTCTTTTTACTAGCGAACGAAGGGGGCCATCGCACGATACTAAACGATCGACTACACGAGAAAACACAGGAGCTATAACGAAACACTAGCATTAATATCGTAAGAACAAAATCAATATTCACGGCTGGTGAAATGAAAAAAATGATAAAAAGACTCGACGGAGTCTCCGGAGGCAAAAGGCAACAAGTCGTTCTTCAGCTTAACTTTTTTGACAATCCGTCCTTTTAAACAGCGATCCTGCTCCCTTCGAACTGCCTTGTCTGTGTTAAACTAAATGGATTAATTGAGAAAAAAGAAAAAGAAAAAGGTGAACAATATGGATTTTTGAGGATCGACAGAGAGACTGACCACTGTTTGCTGCGTCGCGTTTCAATGCTTTCATTGGCGCACTTCGTCGAGCGTGCGTTGTCTTCTTCCTTTCGTTCGACGAAGAGAGAAATCGCGTGTGTCCGGATATCGAGGGGAAGCATAATGAAATTAACGAAAAATGATAAGATTAAACGTTGTATAGAGGAGGGTTTAAGGAAGGGCCGCCTCGGTGCTTCCTGTCGCGCAATCGTTTCCTCAGTGAACCATCGCTTCGATAATTTGTAATTTGTATTATCTCTTTTTTCCAAAAAAAAACCTGTCGTTTAACGGTGATAACGATCGACGTAAAATTTTATGTCCGACTTAGACGGCGCATATTGTTAAAATATACGTGACGGTGGTATATATATTATATACTCGACGTGTTTTTTGTATGTTTTCGAGGAAGGAAAATGTTCTCGCCGTCGCGCCAAAAAAAAAGAAGTTTTTACGAAACGAGATGATGATATTGTGTATGTGAAAGAGAAGAAAGATCACAGGCGGATGTTATATTCGTCCTTGATGTTTGACGAGAGTCTCTAACCGTTTGTATGAAAAATTATGCGCAGTTTAAGCAGATGAGATAAAAAAAAAAGAAAAAACGTTGAAGGGAGGAAAGGGGGGAAGAAAAGAAAGAGAAATGAAAAGAAACCACGTCGATATACATTATGTGCGTTGTGTCGTCGGTGATTTGGCAAAACTGTTTCCGCTTTTCAACGTGCGACAAACAGCGTTCGGTTGGCCAAGAATAATCTTTTTATCGAAGTTCAGCGTTAACGGGAAATAAGTTTGCATTTCTTTATGGTATGATACATATATCATACGCGTTA